AATTTAAGTGTAATTTTGCATTCAAACAATACAGACCCTTTTTGTTGTTGTTGTTGTTGCAACTGCTACTAATACAACCACACACACATTTTTGCGTGCTGGGGGTCACTGAAGCCAGAGCGAAACTCTGAAACCATTTCAAAGGCAGGAAAGACTGCTGCCTTCTCTGTGGTGTCCAATACCTTTGAAGTATCTAAGGCAGCTGCTCCTGCCAGATAGGAACTCTTGTTGTTCTTTTAAAAATATACTTTGTTCTGCTTACAGCTGGTAGATTTGAAAGTCCAACTAAACAAAGTTGAAAACACACACAGACAGAGAAAATCATTAAAAGCTCCCTTCCTGGATACATCAAAGAAAAATCTATAGAAGACAGATGAAAAAGAGATGAGCAGTTGGCACCAACCAGGAAAATGCCTCTATTCAAGAATAGTTCAGTCTAATGAACAAATACATAGATCTGTTTTAAATGGATACACACTGAATAATTTTTATTTCGGAGAATTAAAACACTCGTAATACATAAAAGAATGTTTTCCACTAGTATTAAAGAAGCCAAACCCACCCATCCTGGTGCCCTTGTGATGGACAATAGTCATGGGCCCAAAGTTTGTCCCAATCATTTCATTTGTGTTTCCATTTCATTCCATCCATTCAGATGGCATGAAATGGAAAGGCCCCTCCTGAAACGAAAATGCAACTGATAGGAAAGGCAAGTGTGCTTGCCTTTCAGATAGATTGTGTGGGGCCTGGCAGGGCCTGCAGCCAAACACCAAGTGAGGAACTCTCCTTATTCAGCACTCGGATGCAGGCCCTGCCATGCCCGGATACATAGGCCCAAAGCCTGCACCCATAGGCCCACAGTGCTTTGAGCCTATGGGTGAAGCCCCGCCCCCCACCAAAAAATAATGTACATGAAAACTAAATGAAAAATAAATATCTGACATACTGATTTCGGGAGGTTCAGAAGAAAACGGATTGGGGCCCCAGAGAAAGCTGAACACGAAACGAATCAAGGTAAACCCTGAATGCACAAATCTATGTGGTACAAAAGGCTAGACTGAAACAACTAAGAAAAGTTCATATAACGGTGTCCTCTGTTCTACTATGCCATAACTTTTGGAATTTTAATTATTGTGTCTAGCATTAGAACCAATGGGGTATGTGAGAAGCATAAAAGGAGTGGATTCTAATGAACAAATGTACATGTTACTACATGGCAAATATTTTTTAATTTGGAGAAAAAAAAACCCTCTTTTCTACTAGTGATCAAAGTTAGAGCTACACTCTACTGTAATTCCACTCCATGTTTACAGCAACTTACTGCCACGGATAGAGGAATGCAGTTTGAATGAGTTGATGTTTTTATACATGTATGTATTTTATTTTATTGTGTTTCATATTGTACTTCATTTTTATGGGGTTTTTTAGGTACTTTGTGCCATCTGTAAGGCACCCTGAGTCCTTTCGGGGAGATGGTGGTGGGATATAAAAATAAAGTTATTATTATTATTAATAATTCTCAATCACAACATACTAATGTTTACCAACTTATTATACTGTATTAAAACAATGAAACAAATAAATCAATCATCAATGGTTATTTGCCCCAGATACAGATCACTTGGCACACTAAATAACAATGGAAAAGTTACCATTGCATTTCTGCCCTTATCTGAGGTTTCAGAGGTATCTCATGTTCAAAACAGCATACTGGACTAAGGTGTTCTTGGTGAAATTCAACAACACACTACTTCTCCTGAGATGAAATCAGGAGTCAAACTAATCCCAGTCAACATCATTCATTCTCATTCAAAAGAAAAACAAAACAAAAACCAAACAGTGGGAGTGATGGACTTAAGAAAGGTAGATAGAGCATAAATTGTTTATGATTGATTGTCTATCACTAATCAGTTGGATATCCTGTCATACTATTTTTTGGCACAGAAGTAATGCTGAGATAGCAAGGAGGACTTTGATATGGAAAACTATTTAATATGAAACTTTATGGCAAATGCACTTTATACATACTAACCTTTTCTTACAGTGAGAAGCCTCTTTACGTTAGTGCTGAGACAAATGTTCTAACATATGATAAAAAATGCATATAACACAATTCTGTAGTGTCCACTGAAATTAGGTGAAGTCAAAAAGAATTCTGTAGCAAAAATGCCTATAAGAGGTATCCCAGTAATACCTTGCTATACAATACCTAGATGCTTTGAGTCCCCTTTGGGGAAATAAAGAGGGGTACAAATAAAAATAAAAATAATACATTTATGCAGCAGAGTAAAATTAAGGCGTTATTTCGCTTGCTGAAACACTACCATAATTATTCTTTATGAACATCTGCACCAAGTATTGACATGTACCTATTTTTCTCTCTTTGAGACATATAAATAATTCTATTCAAAAACAGCTTTCAAACATAACATTAAAGAATGTACATTCAAAATCATGCGCTTTGGCATAGTAACCTTAGTATATAACCTGAAGCATGTTATATATAATGAAAAGAGATATACTACCTATTGTGTCTTGGAGCTCAATAACACCATCTTATTGCCCTCTAAACTTATCTGTCAAGACCCAGACGGACCAGCAAGCAAAACGGCAGTGAAGGAGTTAAACAAAGGTCTTTAATGTCTATTAGCACAACAAAAGGAGGCTCTTAAAGTCAGAGCTATAAACACAAAAGGCTTGCGGTCAGCAAGAATGTAAACAAACCAAGTCCCAGTCAGTCCTCGCTGGCAAAAGGAAAGCAAGTCCAAACGCAGGCAAAACAGCTTCAATTCAGCAGTAAAAACTCAGTTCATTTCAAAGCCAAACAAAACAGCAAACAGCAATCCGCATGAAGAGCGGTCCAACGAAGTCACCAGGGGATTAGCAGAGGCGTAGTCAGGCAGTCCGAGGGTCAAGGCAAGGAAGACTCACAAGTCCAGGTCCGGCAAGATTGTTCACACGATCAGGAGTCCACGAAGCTGCAAACAAGAGCTCAGGGCAGAAGTTAAACACAAGGCACACGGTAACGCGACACTTTGAACTCTGCGATTAGTTTGTTCCCAAACTGCTCCTTAAATCTCATCCGAGTCGCTGGAGTTACTTTCAGGTGCGTCTGCCTCCACAGGTGAATCCCGACTTCGCCATTGCTGCCAGTCTGTGCTTCGGGCTGCATCCTGCAAAGTATTATCTGGAACCCAAGTGTCATTAAAACCCTGGAATTCATCGCTAGACGTGGGAGCATTAACCACATCTAATACTTCCTGAACTTTAGTCCAATCCAGCTCTTCCTCTTCGCTGTCAAACTCCTCACAATCAGCTACATCTCTAAGGCGTTTAACAACAGATCCCACATCACTATCCGAGCTGCTTGCTACTCGCTTTACACCGCGGTAATCTTCCAGCTCCATTTCCTCGCGAGTAAAACCCTCAAAATCTTCCTCATCCGTAGTCTCTAAGAACAAGTCTCTAATACGTTTCAGCTGTTGCTGAGCTTCTTCATCTTCTAAACCACGTTTCCTTCTACTACTAGTAGTAGGTACATGAGACAGACGCTGACTCACAACACTATCAATGCAAACCTTTACCTATAAGGCACAGCAATCTTTGAAATACAAAGATGCAGTAACAAACTGTCCCTAAGTAATATAAGGAAAAATTAGGATCAATAAAAAGATTATCAATAGTTCATGAGCAGAATTGTAGAGGTTAGAAAAAAATTACCAGTATATTCAGAAACAGACTGCACTCAGGTTGTCTTGCACTTTGCTACCCTATTAATCAGATGTTTTTAAAAACATGACGTATGAGCAAAGATAGAGGAAAAATGATACTTGCAAAATAATATGCTTGAACTGTAAGTAGATTTTCTTGTTGTTTGATGTTTCATATTACAATTTATGGCTTGTTATAATGAAAAAATTGACCAAAGTCCTTTTTTCTACAAAAATAATGAACTTAATGCTATTCCAACAATTTTGCTACATATGAACACGAAGGGATTTTAAAACATAAAATATGTTTATAATACTACACCTAGTTTTATAGTATGGTTGCTGAGATATACCAAAAGACCACTGTTGATATGATAGTGGAAAAAATCAACTATATTTACAATTGAATGATATTTGAAAAACAATTTATAGTCAGAAAAAAGTAATGTGCCAAGTTAACTTCAATTTTCTAGGACTTTTAGATTCACTGGGCACCAATAGTAGACAGCAAGTTTATTTCATATAGAATAAGTGGTTAGAATCCTGGCTGAATATTTTTCCATGTGTATATCTATAGAAGTTTGAAGGTTGGAGATTCTGAAAGGAAAGCTGAAGATTCAGGAAAGGGACCAATGAGGTAGAGGGAGTCAAGTCACAAACTTCCCACTCTCTTGGATCCAACCTTGAGATTCTGTAAAATTCCATACATTGCTTTTACGATTTTAGTATTAATAATACAGAAAGCCCAACAAAGGAGTGGGAAAAAGCAGGCACTGTTATCTGATGATGAAAGTCTACACAAGCAAGCATAAATCATCATCTTTAAGTCTACACAGTTAACCTAATTTGCTTATTTGCCTTTAAATAGACAGGGAAAGAAGCTGTAATTCTCCATGTTAATGAACTCTTGTGACAAGTGAAACTTCATGGATGCAGGGAAATACAACACAAACATGCCAAGAGGAAGGTGTTTCAAGCCAACTCTGATCAGCACTGCCAAAGTAAGAAATCTGATGAACAGTACCATGCACCACATTTGATTTAACAAAAGAAATTACTTCATTTCCACTTACAGAAAGATATGATAATATGGATACTCCAGAGAGGTAGGAATTAGCTGGGAAGGTCAGCTAAAGGGATAACAAACTGTTTTTGAAATAGACATTAGCCATTTCCAATTATATTGACAAAAGGGGAAAAACAGTAGGACAAAAAACACCACAACTGAATAAGGTGTAAAAAAGGTATGCCTATCAGATAAAGGTTTCTTAATTAGAAAAAAACATCAACCTGTTGTTCATATCTTTGCTTGAGTTCCTCCAATTGCCAAGAAAATTCTTTTGACTGCTTTTCACGGAGCGATTTTGATCTGCTTAGATCTGCTTCCACCCTTTCCATCTAAAAAGTAAGAAAAATATTTAAAACATCAAACCATTATTTTAAAAACGACACTGATGATAGCAGCTTCCTTGTCACCAAGCAGATGAAAATCAGTTTGCAGCATTAATGAATGATGTAAAAAGTTAGTATTATGGCTGTAAAGTAGTCAATTAAGCACACATCACTATTTTATCGAGATTGGACATTGCTCTCCTCCCAAGAAGTAAACGTCTCCTGATTTCCTGGCTGCAGTCTGCGTCTGCAGTAATCTTTGCGTCTAGAAGTACAAAGTCTGTCACTGCCTCCACGTTTTCTCCCTCTATTTGCCAGTTATCAATCATTCTTGTTGCCATAATCTTGGTTTTTTTAATGTTTAGCTGCAACCCAGCTTTTGCGCTTTCTTCTTTCACCTTGATTAGAAGGCTCCTCGGCTCCTCCTCGCTTTTGGCCGTCAAAGTGGTATCATCTGCATGTTCAGCATACAAATTTTAAAAATCTAACACTGCAGAGTCTGGATTAAATGGGAACGCCATAGCTATGCAAACCATGGCTTCCTGCAGAATGAAGGGATTACAAATGTGATAAAGCAAAATATAAGGCAACTTCAGCATTTTAGGATTAGAAAAATCTATAGTGAAAAATACAGGACTTTCAATAAGTCTTTTGTCCTTATGCTCAACTACATGAAAGCACCCTAGAACAAATTATCACATTTCCATTATAATTCTTTCTAGAGTACACAATATTGTCATATTTTTCATCTCTCTTCTCATCTCATTGCTCTTGCCTTCAAATTCCAAGCTTTAGACTGTATGGTCCTTAGAATAATATATTGATCCAGGTATTCAAAAGGACCAGTATAAATAACAACAGTAAAAAAGAAAAATTAAACATATGACAAAGTAGACAGTACATGCATATGGGATGCTTTATTATTTATTATGTCAAACAAGATCTAGGGCCATGTTATGTGTATATTACCATTCCTCCCAATACGATAGCAACTGCACCTGTTAATATTACATTAATCCTGTATCATATCCCCACACCATCATGAACTGGTAAAAGAAAAAGCAAACACCCAAAGAATAAACTTAATTCAGAACCATAACTGTCCAATCCTCACAAAGAACAAACTATAAATGGCACAGAAGAAATTCAGTTGAGGGCTTTCTTCAACAGTTTTCCCCATCAGGAACAAAAAAGTTATGCATTATGTGAATTCTGATTGTTTTAAATAATGGCAATAACTTTATTTGTTATAATTCTTCCATAGCCTATGATTAAGATTTAAAAGTTGGGAGAGAGAAAAAAACCTCTCACATTTCTATATTGGGTTTTTTTTTTTAATCAGCAGTCACTTTAATAGTCAACAGATTATCTTAACGGCCAATAAGATTCAGCAAAGCAGAACAGACGTGGTAACTCTATTAAGCAAATTAATTACATCACAAAAGCTGGTGAATAAAATATTATTCCTAGTAAGCGGGGGGAAATCATAATACAGTACACACATTTATTAAGATAAGACTATCCATGGGTTCAACCATCCATCACTTCTAGACTCCTCAGCAAGTATTTAACTGTGACCTACCAAGATCATTCTCCAGATATCAGTCACAGAAGCTCATCCTGCCTCTATTTTTATCAGAGTATAGGTTCTCTATCCCTTATTGAAAATGCTGAGGCCCACAAGTGTTTTGGATTTCACCTTTTTTTTTTTTTGGATTTTGGAATGTCCATATTTGCATATTTGTGCATAATGAGTCCTCTTAATGACGAGACTCATGTTTAAACAAAAAAAATCATGTATATTTTATATACAACTAATAAACATAGCTTGGAGGTAATTTTATACAATATTGTTAATAAGTTCATGCATGAAACAAAGTTTGTGTACATTAAGCCATCAGAAACCAACAATGTCACTATCTCAACCAAACATGTAGAAAACTTTGCATTTTGTGGAGTACTGGATTTATTTCAGAATTCTGGATAAGCGATGGTCAACATGTATTCTCCAATTGCTTATGTGAGGACTTTTAAACTCCTCTCCATGTATGAATGACATTAGACTTGATAGAAAGGTCATGGAGATAGGAAAGTTTAACGTATTTCTTCCTATCCATAATTTTCATATAACTTATAATGAAATGCATTCATATAAAAAGTGTTCATTTTTAAAAGATTTCTTTAGCAACAGCAGTGAAAAGCTTCTTTATTTTCTGTGAATACAAGTGTTGACAGTATCTTGAAAGCACTTTAAACTATTAGGGACATAATTATTTACTGGGTCAAACAAGGCTAAAGTATGTCTGGATTACCAGAAATACATCTCTGAACTGGGAAAACAAGGAACTGAACTGATTGCCTCCATATCTGTAAAGGCTTCTAGATTTCAGAGTACTTTTTTTCTTTTCTGTACAATGGATTGTTGGTGGAAGAATATAAGAATACAACTCTTCTATCTGCAAGTCCAAAAGTGGCCCTACACATCACCAAAGATGTTGTCTCATGGGGTACAGAACATGTGAACCACATATTTTGTTTTTCCCAGAATATTTAAGCACTTTGTTTCTACACTATACACTATAAAGTACTGTGGCATGGTCTAGAGCAGTGGCTCTCAACCTGTGGGTTCCCAGATGTTTTGGCCTACAACTCTGAGACATCCCAGCCAGTTTACCAGCTGTTAGGATTTCTGGGAGCTGAAGGCCAAAATATCAGATTGAGAACCACTGGTCTAGAGTAAGCCTATACAACCTGTGCCCCCCCCCCCTCCCCCACATGTTTGGGCTTCCAACTCCAAGAAGCCCTAGCCATCTTGTCAAATGGTCAGAAATTGACTTGGCGTCATAGTGGTGACTCGGCATCATAGTGGATGAAGCGAAAGCTCGTCCCGTGACCGGAATCGAGCATAACCTCCAGGCACTGAAGTGGAAATGCCAAAAATACCTCTGTCTGTATGTATGTATGTTTAGAAAACATCACTGAAAATTTGCCGTGCATGTGTGCATTGTGATCCGCCCTGAGTCCCTTTCAGGGTGAGAAAGGTGGAATATACATACTGTAAATAAATAAATACATTCCTTGGGCTGAAATTCAAAACATTAGAAGACTGTAGGTTGTGCAGGCCTAGATAGATTTATAGATACACTACAGAATTTAAAACAGCAATTGCGCACTTGTTGCCTTTTTATACTCATAGCCTCTTTTTATACTCACATAAGAATAAGAATACAACTTGTGCCCCTAAACAATCCTATAGCATCCTGTGGTATAGGATTCTAGTGCCTCAAGCTTCTTACAAGATAGTATTCTATGATGATATATTTTTGTTTTACTTTAGAAACATCACACTTCTAAATATTTACTATCCTTGTCCTAGCCCCCCCCCCCCTCCCAACCTTCTCTTCCATTTGCCCTACAGAACAACTTGAGTCATAAGTACTACTCTTCAAAACACATACTGGGCCTTGCCTTTCTGCAAGACCAAAATTAAATGCAAGTCACTTCACCAATGAAATACTTCATTGGTAACAAAATGGTTACCAAGGAAGTTGAAACATCACAGCAATAGTGTCATTTCTAATTAAATCCCAAGGAAGTTTCATTTAAAAGAGATAAATAAGAGCTACAATGCGATCTAAGACAGTGTATAAACTTGCATTTTAATTCTTGAATTCCTAGAAAAGTCCTATGCAATACTACAACTATGGATGGTTTTTGCAGCGATGACAATTCTGGCTTTGTTATAAAGATGAATCATTTGCTAGCATCCTTTCTACTGACTTGCTGGCAAAGCCACTACATTGTGAAAGAGTTTGATGTATCACTATCAAGTGAAGTATGTATCTGGCAATATAAGATGAGAATATGCTATCCCACTGAGACAGATAGTTGCAGAAAGGCTGGCATTGTGACCTCCTCACCTGCTCTTTCATTTCAGCATAGACTTTTTCTGAGTTCAGCTCCACCTGCCGCTTAAACTCCTCCAGGGCAGCATCAGCCTGCTGGGCTTGCCGGCTCTGTACCTCCATCACCTCAGTCAGCTGCTCCTCCTTCTCCCTAGAAAGTCAGATAAATTTTTCACAGTGGAAGTATCAAATAAAAGAACATGTGTGCTGGTGTAAAAGAAAGGCCTTTAACCCTGTCTATTGAAAACAGCATTCCTGTTCCAATTTTCTGTCCTTATTTATACCGAACGTCTATGAGATATTCTTTCAGGAAGAGAATAACAAGTCAAACAATACCTCGGATATTCTTTTTACCTCTTTCATAGAAGTGAAGGAACCTAAACACAGCACTGGGCTCTCATGAAACTTTCAAAGCTTTCATCTCATGCAAGGAAGCTTAAACAGCCTGGTTTTATTGTGCGACATAATCATCGCTTAAATAACTTTAACACATCATCAAAAGATATTTAATCAAGAAAATGTTTTGCAGTATGTGCCTATACTGTAAGATTAATACATCAAGAGAAGCATATCCCCACCGCCATCTCCTTTAAGACAGAAAGAGGATTATTTGCTGCCTCGTATACGTCAGATTATTAAGTATGGAAAACATGACACCCATTGGAAGCTTCTCAAGACAATTTAGTGAAAACCCTTAATGCGCAGTTATGACATCAATTCAGCATTAGCATGGGTGACATTACTTATGCTTCAAATGTGCATGACTCGCCCAAGTCAATGTCAAGCAGGGAATAACTAATATTAAAAGGATAAAATGCTGATATCTAGAACATTAGAAACTGATGCATTGCAAGTTACCACAGTATATATAATCTTTTCAAAATCATGCATAGGTTCTACTTTTGTAATATTTTTAAGTACAGGTGCAGTTTACAAGAGCTTGATCAACTAATCAATTCTATTTATGTAGTTTACTTTCACAACTACTAGTGCAATGGCATCATCTGGTACAGCTGCACTACTGTTGTGTTGAACTGAAACCAAATGAGTTGCCAAATGAGAACTATGCATGCCCAATGGCCATGGCATGATGGCTACTGGGAAAGAAACACAAAACCAAGCAGAGGGAGGGAGGGTAACTTGAAGGAGGATGTGGCTGGCAGGAAACAAAATTAGAGTACATCATACTGTAGACTTTTAGAGAAGCTCAAAATTGACAATTAGTATAATCATTTCTAATGCTCTAGATCAGTGGTTCCCAATCTGTGGTCCATGGACCACCAATGGTCTGCAAGGACTAAAATATGGTCCGTGGTCTCACCGTTACTACACCATTGCAACTTATCTCGCAAAACCCTCTTATAGTGTTGAGACTTATTAAATATGGTTTTCTGTGGGCGAGCAGATGGTGACTACTGGATTGCATATGTTCTGTATGAGAAACTAGACCTGATGTGGTCTATCCAATGCAATTTTCTGAATCAACATCCCAAATAACCAAATTGGATCTAAAGTTGACCAAAAACTGATTTATAACTGAAGATGCTTGCCACATATGTAGGCAAAACATCAGGACAGAATGCTTCTAGAACATGGCCATTCAGCCTGAAAAACCTACAACCCAGTGATTTATAACTCTTTTGGTACTAATGTTGAAGAGTGGTCCCTGGTCAAAGTACAATCCACCCCAAACAATTAGGTCCTCTGGGGAGTGGCTACTCCAGCCTGCCAAAACCCAGCTGGAAACCATCCCCCAGAGGACCTTTTCATCGGCCTCCCCAAGACTGGAACAACCTGCCGAAATGAGCTAAATGAGTTGTCAGAATTAAAAAACTAAAGATCTATCTCTTTTGGCAGGCCTACTCATTCAGTTTTAATCATGAATTTTAAACTCGTGTCCTGTGTTTTAATCTTTGTTGTGTGTATTTTAATATGTATTTTGTAGAAATATGTTTTAATATGTAGTATTTTATTTTATTTAGATTATTGGGTTTTTTAGCGATTTTGTAACCCGCCACAAGGAGAGGCAGGTAAGGAAAAAAATCATGGTTATTATTATTATTATTATTATTATTATTATTATTATTATTATTTTGCAAGCCACCAGCTCAGACATCTGCCAAGACAGTGGGCTGGAAAAAATGGGTGGAACGAAAGAAATGATATCTTCTACAAATGATGAGTCTAAATTTCTGGCAACTGCAACCTGTCAAGAATAGTTTCCTGGATTAGTAGGACGAGAAAAGAAAGGGAGTGGTAGAAAGCGAGACAGAGTTAGGAGAAAGCTGTAGTCCTGCCTTGTTTCTGCTCCCAGCTACATATGGAACACAAGTATTTAGAGAAAAAACGGTGTCCTCACTTCTGATGTAAAGACACAAAATATATACAACAAAGCAGCAAGGTCATACATCAGCATTGCAAAAGACACTAGACTCCATCTGGACATTTATGAAAAGCAGTGAATCTTATTTAAAAGATCAATATTTTTCCCACAGTTATGTTTACCAAGAATTCTAATTTGTCATTAAAAAAATTATAGAAATGGGAAAATCATTAAAAGTCACTGATATGGTTCGTACAAATGTGACTAGAAATAATACCTCATGTATCAGAATATGTAAATAAATTTAAAAGACCTGTCAGGCAGGTTGATAGAAGATTACATTTGAAAATATTATGCATCCTAGCCTCTCATCTTGCAGGCTTATTTGCATCTTCAAAGAAATGTCATGATCAATTCAGAGATTTTATATACTACTTTATAAATTCTAAGTCAATTGGACACATTTTCCCCTTAAACATATGAACATTAATCTTTCATCATCATTAGACCTTATTAGAGCTCTTTTACCCACAGTAGTGATTCACAGAAGTAACAACTGGTTTTTATATGTTTGACCTTGTGGCTTATGAAAATATTTAAATACAGAGCAAAGTGAATGCATTTTGCAACCTCTGAACAGACTTCTTTGGAAGTCGATCTTTACTTCCAAGTATAGGAATGTGCACAGAAAGAGCCTAAGATGGATATTTTCATGTTACGAAGTATACAAGTTTGAATGAACTGTTATTACTCAGGGTTAGATACCTTTTTGGGACCTACTTCACTTGGCTGATGACCGATGCATTTCATATACCTAAGAGTTGTGCTCACATGCCAAGGAATCCATGAAGATTTACAAAACAAAACAACACAACACAAAAGAAACCCTATAGTATTTTCTCCTCAGTGTACACACACACATTTGTATGCAGGCAATGCAGCAGAACATTTCAGGGGATAATCTACCTAGCTCTGACTCTCTTTTTAGTTTGCCCTCTCCTCACATTCAAATTGCACGAGCTCTGGAGCTCACACAATTCAACAGGAAAAAGAAACAAGTGTTTATTAGGCATACAGAGGTGACCTTCAGCCTCCCAAGGCCTCTTTTTGGTCTGAAGAGGTAAGACAGACACATAGCTTCACTAAGCCCTAAGAGAATCCCTCCAAGTACAGGTCTTGCAACCATATAGGGAAGGATTATGTCCTTCATGTTTAGACTTTTCTGTGTTCCGTAAATTAAATCAATATTTTCATAAATATTTTAATGTAATATTTTATAAATATATCTTAGAAGTAACGTGTTGTTAAATGCTTTGCATGAATTATAGGCAGATATCACTAGCAAAGCATGCAAAATGACTTTTGGTCATCTCTTATAATCGAAAGCCCAAACATATAGAAGAATTACTGTTTTTCTTCAGAAGGCAAGAGAGGGAAAAGCGACAGCAAAGTCATTTGAGCAGGATAATAACTAAACCGAACCCAGATCAAAGGAATAAAGAAGAAAGGCTGAAATCTGAAGCTGAAATATTTATTGCCTTCAAAACATCATCCCTGTCCTGTCCCTGGGCACTTTAATATTGCAAAGTTGCTAGAAAGCATTCTAAGTTGTATTCATCACTGCCTGGCAAATGAACCAAAAATGTAAGGAGGCAACAGCCTTGTTCATTATTCAACGGTTCTGAATATAATATGGCACTTCTTGTTTAAGATGGAAGAAAGTAAACATTTAACTGAAGAACTGTTTCCATTTCATTCCGTTTGTGATGTTAACATCAAAGTGACTATATGCATCATTTTAAATACTAAACTAAACCATAATAAAAATAAACCTCACCTTTAGTTTTTATTAATATTACACCATCCTGAAAATATATTAATACAATAATTATTCCATATCCTATATATTAACAGTACACTCTTCACTGAGGGTAAATCATTCAGTAACTAAAATGGCAACATCCATATACAAGAGGGAAGCATTAATAAAGGCAGATTTTGGAAATAAACAGTTAATTCATTGTGTTGTTCTAGCAATGTGGATTGATTCACTGGCATGCATGAAAAAAGTAATCCTATATTTCAAATGAATATAGAATTTGTTAGACTGCTTCTTAAGCTGTGAGACTTGACCTAAAACAAGATCTCCTTAGCTCAATGTTGAGGTTACAAAAAGTTTGGCAAGAGTGAAAGGTTTCTGCTTACCCAAATCTGTTAGCAACAACATTCAGGGTTTCCAGTGGACTCTGCAGAAAATGCTTCAGCTGTACTTCATAAAAAGGACAATCTGTCTGTTTAGCAAACCTTGCAAATGCTGATTTATTATCAGGAAATGTTAGATTTTTATACCTATTTTATATACCTATATACTTGGAGTCACATAAAGTTTCCTGAGTGGAAAGGAGTTGTGAATGTAAAATGTTTAAGAAGGCCTGCACTAGATGGCGATTTGCTGTCTGATTCAGTAAGAAAGAAACAACTCCAAATGATGCCTCAGGTAAACCCGGAGTAATCCAGAGTAAACTGGGATTTCTCGATTTACTCTTGATTAATTTAACACCTGGGAGGATGTTTCCAGGTGTGGGCTTGTGGAAATTGACTCCCGGGACTGTGTTCTGTGGTTCAGGGAATCAATCCCTATTGCCATTCCGATTCTTTGGGCTTTAAGAGCTCGAAGGAGTGTGGTGGCACCTCCCCTCCTAGCCCCCCCCCCCCATTTTCCCCTAAAACTTACCCGTGGGGTCTGGCTGCATGCTGAGGTCCCTCAGGTAAATTTTGGGGAGAAACAGGGGTTGAAGCTGGTGTGGGGCCTGAATCCTGGGAGGAAC